AACAGATTCATCCGCAGAAGGAATCGATCGATTATCTTAAGCGAACTTTCGCACGCTGCCTTCGCTGCGCGCGACGCGATCTCGCTAGTGTTTTAGTAACACTAATTACCTACTGTTAAAATTCCTGTTAATTAACTATGGCAGTGTTTCTTAAACCGTGTTTTCACACCGCAGTTTGACATCCGTCCTCGGGACCTCGAGGCGATTTACGCCGAGGTCCGAATTATTATTATTTTTTTTTTTCTAAGTTCGAATAACTCTTCGCTACATAAAAATGCGTTTACACACGTCAGTAATAACATCAGTATATTACGTTAGTTATGTCGCATTTCTCCTCTCGCACATTCCCTACGATTTATGCCAGAGAGATTAGATTACTTAATTTAACACGTGTCGCACGTGTTACGCGTATAATAATTGGCGACACGCGTGTCATCACGTTCTCTTCGTACTCCCTTCTATCTTGAATTTGACATCAAAAGTCGCGCTGAGATTCGGCATAAAAAAAAAAAAAAAAAAAGAAATCAAAACAATTATCGTTCCGTGAGACCTTGTGAGAAGCTTAAGAAACACTGGAGGAACCGCGTTCCCGTACTTATGTCGCATGCGCTGCGCAACTCGTCCTTTGCATTCTTATTACAAGATACAAAAATCGCAAATGACCCCGCTGTGATTGATAAAAACGACGAATCTTCTTCTTAGTTCGGTACAAAAAAAATAAAGTAAAATCGAGTTCGGTACAAAAAGAGCGGATGATATTACAATCGACGATCGCGACGACGTTTGGTTCGTTCGCGCGAACTCTTAAATCGTGTTAACCAACGCTCTCTAATTCGAATTTCGAAATGTCGCGGAAGCTGCTACCGCGATGTAAATACAAACAATTCAATTTTCGCTTTCGAAGACGATGCACATTTCTCCGTTTTTTACTTCATAATTTTTTGTCTGTATTATTTATATCGTCATACGTGCAAATGCACGCGGAGTTATATTTTGTAGAATATTTTCTCCACAAGCGTTGGTACCCGAAAATGTCGAAACAAATAAAACAGATTGAAATTTTTTACTAAATGTTGAAAACGAGATGAAAAATCAAATCGATCGCAGTAGCAACTTTCAGCGAATCGAAAAATCGGTTATATATATACATATATATATATATATATATATATATATATATATATCCGCTTGCATAGTATTTTTTATTATATATATAACATATTGCCATTATAACAATTACACAGCACAGCCAGCAACTCCGTTTATATACATTCCTCTTCGTGTATCTCTCTCTTTCTCTCTCTCTCTCTCTCTCTCTCTCACTCTCGCTCTCTCTATCACCTTATCACTGATATTATTCCATCGGTTTCCTTCTTCGTCGCTCATACACGCTCGAAGGAAGAACTACGTTATATAAATCTTTGCGAGTAACAGACTCCTCTTTGACTTCAACGATCACGATAAACGCGCGAAGCGGACATTCCGAGTATGCAACAACGCATTAATTAGTCGCTTTAATTAAATGTATGTACGATCGATCGTGTACACTCTGATCTTGTTGACTCTTATCCCGTCGTGCATGAAAGACCACATGTGAATCCTATAGACAATGACAAAAAAGTTGTAAAAATTTACGCGTCAATAAATTTTAAAAATTTTTCATATAATATATATATATATATATATGTATATATAATATAATTATTGAAGACACGTCTCTGCGCTTATTAATCCCGAGTACGGGCAATATGAAATTAAAATAAGATTTAGTTTGGAAATCAATTTAATTTCGAAGTGTTAAACGCGTGATTGGATGATTTTGTTTAACTCCGTTTTGCTCGGCAAAAGAGATAAATCAGAGCGTAAATTGTGCGTATGTATGTATTTCGTCGCTCGACGAAACGTTACACACTTGATGTTTCGTTTCACACTCCCTCTTCCAACGTTACAAGATCAATTTGTACTCGATGGCATGGTAACGTTTGCTTTGAGCAGAAGGCTGTCCACAGCAGAAAGTCGCGCACAATGCGCTCCCGCTCGATTTCTACCGAGAGGTGCGTGAAACATGAACGAGGTGGATGTTCTTACGTGCGAGTAGATCTTCTCGCACGCGCGAATTCTTCGCAAACAATTCGTAAACAAAAACGTCTCAATCGCAAATTGTCGCAAATTCAAGCTGTTTCGTGACTTTTAATATATTTGCTGGTCTGTTGTTGTTATTCTTTTTTTTTTTCACGAATTAGCAACGATGCGCTAAAAAAACCAATAGTGTCCGTTTGCTATCTCAAATTGCTGAATAAAATGATCGGACATCCACCTTGACATCCATGAGATTGAATTGACTATCCACACGTTCTCGTAAATTACCGAGGCACGCTTTGTATATGTGTCGTCGTCACACACGCGCACGCGTATCCGAAAAAAAAAAAAAAAGTACTGAGGAATATGGGAAGGAGATGTGAGGAAAGGCGGTAACTATACAATCGGCATTTATTAAGCTGTAAATAAAGATCCGTACTCAGAACACAACTGCAATATAATATATAAGAGTAAGATATACGCAAAACGCAACAAGCTTGCGATTTGTCTCCCGGATTTTACGCGTGAACGTTTTTTTCTTTTTTTTCATGTTTCTCACTTTTTACGGTAAAGTGTTACGATCTTATTACTCACTTTTGTGTGTGTGTGTGTGTATATATATATATATATATATATATATATCACAGCAAATGATGAAGAAATGTGTAGCTGCATGAATGCGGAAAATGAACGAGCGCGAGAACATGTCGTTTCAGAACTGACGGCTGAAATATTCTGAATACGGATACTCTCCACACATTTTATATATGAATGTATATATATATATATATATATATATATATATACAATATATATATATATATATTAACTTCGAGAAATACATATACAGAAACATGAACACGAGATCAAAGAAATAGTTCGCATACAAAGAGTATGAGACAAAAAACAAAAAAATGCGAAGAGGGTATCAAATTTACTGCTTAATACGTGCCTCTTAGCGTATCTGTGTTAATAAGTTCACTGCGACACGAGGCATTTCTGACCCCGTGCGCGTACAGAAATAGCTTAAATGGAGACATCAAGAAGAAAAAAAAACAATAATTTTTCACGTCTAAAAAATAACACGCGAATCGATTTGTTGTTTCAAATATCATTGAGTACCAACGCTGATATATCGATGATAACAGTGTGTGTGTGTGTGTGTGTGTGTGTGTGTGTGTGTGTGTGTGTGTGTGTGTGTGTGTGTTATGGTAATGGAGAGATGTTGGCGATAACGCGATGACATTAATAATTAGAAATTAATAATTAATGACATTAATTAATATTAATAGTCAAGATAAAATATATGTGGTTGAGAAGCAAATAATCGTAACAATAATAATAATAATAATAATAATAATAATAATAATAATAATAATAATAATCACGATGATAAAATGATAATAATTATAATTATAAAAAATAATGTAGCAATAGTAAAAGAATAATAATAATAGTATTATTATTAGTAATAATAATAAAGTCTTATTGTTATCGTATGTATAATATACGTATTGCCGAAGCAATGTTGTATAATGATATCAACGTTTTTTCTGTTTTTCTTGGTAAAATCAAAATAAAAATACTAGATAACAAATTGTTTCTTTTTTTTTTGTCTTCTAGATAGCAATGCGAGAGAGAATCGTACATCTGCTATACTCGGACAACAAGAATAATACTATCAATTAATTAATATGATCTCTATTATAATAATAATAATAAGGTGCTTTTTTTCGTTAGCGTTAACATTACATTATACATATATATATATATGTATATATATATATATGTATATATATATATATATATATGATATATGCGTGTGTGTACGTATGTATAATATGTACAAGGGAATAGAGTTATACATGTGGTTTGCGTCGTAAAGGTGAATAATACGGAGTACATTAATCGTACGTGTGTGCAAATATATAATCGGTGTGTATGTGTGTGTGTGTGGTAAAGTCGTGCTGGATGTTAACACGTTTACTAACGAGCACCATATAAAGACAACGGTCTTCTCGTCTTCTTCTCTGTGTTTACATATATAATATATATATTTTATATATATTTATATATATAATATTTATAGAGATTTTCACGTACGTATAATTCGTATATATAATTACAACCGTAATTAAAATTATATATTAAACCTCTTTAGCACATTTACATATTTTATCTGTGTATTTCCGTTATAATATATAATAAGATACTAATCGGGGATCCACGGCGGCAATTGAATTAGTCGAACACTTTTGGCATTTTTTTTAGTCCCGCGGTATTCTGGTAATAAGTTTTGTAAATGAGGATACTCTCTCTCTCTCTCTCTCTCTCTCNCGCNCNCTCTCTCTCTCTCTCTCTCTCTCNCNCGCNCNCTCTCTCTCTCTCTCTCTCTCTCTCTCTCTCTCTCTTTTCTACATGTCGTAGATGGGCGCGTGTGTTTTTCGTTTCACGTGCCCACTCGTGTTACGTCGCACGTGCGTGTGTGCGAAAAAACGTTTTTTTTTTCGGCCTGTCTTTCATTAATTAATTCGCGCTCTCGAGCATTAGAAAAAAGTTCTCGCTCTTTTTTTGTATCCTCCAGAGTTTTTTGTTTTTTGTTTTTTTTTTTTTTGTCCATCGCGGTGATCCTTCCCAACGAAATGAAATCCGTTCCGCGTGCGACTTTTCTCTCGCATTCTGATTCTCTCTCAGTCTTCCTCGTTTTCAACACGTTCGCAACACACATTTGCTCGCATTCTAATTTACATTCTCTCTATCTATCTCTGTCTTTCTCTTTCTTTCTGTTTCCCTTTATCTCCTGCTCTCTCTTCCAGTCTGTACCCTGGCAGTGTGTCTTACAGATCCTTTGGATTAGACTTGGCACAAACAACAGAGTCTTCGTAAAAAAGGCACTATTTTTGTAAAGCGAAATTGTCTTGCTCTCGAGACGTTACTAATTTTTTTTTTTTTTCGTTTTCCGCGAAACATACAGATCTCTAGAGAGTGAAAAATATCGAGATAAGAATTATTATAACCTCGGCGCGTTTTTGTTTTTAACCATACGGATACTTTTCGCAGAGTATAGAAATTTTGATCTGTTTTGTTCGAAAACTTGTGTGTAACACAGACAATAAGTGACACTTTCTCCCTTTGCCAAAAATTGTGTATCATTAGAAAACTGTGGGCTGTGTGATTATATTTTCGAAATACGAACTTCTCTCTCTCTCTTTTTCTTTCTCTCTCTTTCTCTCTACAGTGAAAAAAAAAATGATCTCTCGCAGTTTACAATTTGTTTTGTTTTCTCGTTTAGCTTATTACACGATCTTACAATGTACAAAATACGCAAACGTAATTTTTGTAATTTTGTTTGAAATCTTCTTCATCTCCTCTGCTCCGTTTTTATTTATATTCATATAAAAAACTGTCAGTCTTATAAGGTTTTTAGTGCAAAAGCATGTACATTTTTTTTTTTTTTTCATGTATTCCAAAGTCTGTGAATTGTGCGAATTGTCGTTCGCGACGAAGTATGATGAGAAATTGGTAATGCGCGAAATGTGATCGGGGATGTGTGATGAAAGAACGATGATTCGTATGAAAATGAGAAAGTTTCGCGGAAAAAAATAGTGACCTTACTATAAATCACGATCGTATTTCATACACACGTTATAATATTAGCTATCGTAATAGTCGTCGTAAACGCCGATCTGGCGAACAATCAAAAAATGTGCTCCTTGTGCTCTATCTTCATATTGTATATAAACGAGCAAGATATAGATGTTCTCAAAAACTGCATAACAGTAGCGCACAACTCTGTGTGTGTGTGTTCCTCATATAATTTATATTAAAAACTTTAAACGCGCATTTGTTATTTCTCGACGAGATATTAATATTTCAAGTAAGTGTAATTTTTATTTTTAACATCGATTTTAAGCCAAGTTCGATATTGTGTAACAATTTTTAGGTTTCAAAATCAAAAAGTCTCTCAAACAACAATTTAGAATAATTGTAATCGTCTTTCTCATTTCGCCTGAATGTGGTTCAAGACAACGTGTACGTGTTTACATTTTTTGTTTGTTTGTTTGTTTTTTTTTTTTTTACTCTAGTTGTCACTACTAAAAGTACACTTTTTGAAACAGCTATATATTAGAAATTGATCGCGTTAAGTTGCTTTGCAGTTATCTATTCTGGTCCGCATGAAAAGACGATGATATTCATCAACACGTGCACGTATTAATCCCGTTAGTTTCGAACACGCTTACGAGACGAAAAGCATTTCTCCCGTCTAACTCTTTCTCTTTCTCTCTTTCTCTCGCTCTCTCTCTCTCTCTCTCTCTCTCTCTCTCTCTCTCTCTCTCTCTCTCTCTCTGTGGTAATCCAAGAGAAAATGAAATCGTGCAGTCTACGGTTTTTGTTTGTTTCGAGTGTGTGAGTATCGATCAGTCCGAGCTCGCTGCTAAAGTTGTAAACGCATACAAATGTCCCAGTCGGCCACGGCTTTATTTAACAGTCGGTGGTTGTACATGGTTGTATAAGTTTAGTTGTATATATAATATGGATATCAAAATTTTGAAAAGGACATCTACATGATCAAAAAGTGTTGTTGCGCATCTTCCTTGATGCGCGCATCAACTCCGGAAAAAGTTTATCTTTATATCGTGAACGGTCGTTACAAAAAAGCGACGTTGTTTGTGTTGACTGTGAGTTGTTCTTCGATTTTTCACGAAATAACGTTTATCATACACGTCCGGTTTGTGTGACAAAATAGAAAGTTCTCAATATTATTCGCAGCAGTTTTTACTTGTCGGAAATAAAACGGCGAAACAACTTCCCTTTTTCCCTTCCTCCCCCCGCCCTCCTCTGTACCCTCCTCGACGTTAAAACTCCTTTCGTCGCAAATTTAACACGTGTGGTCGCATTTGTTACCTGTGCCGCGTGAAACATAACAAAGCGAGTGTTTCTCGAATGTTCCTCTGTGGGAAGATTCAACCACTACCGAACGTTAAATGCGATAAAAACAAGCTTTTCTCGTTTGCACACGCATACTTACACACCTTTCTCTCCGCTCTTTCTCTCTCTTTCGTCCTGTTTCTCTCGCTTTTATCTTTGTCCTCGCTTTCCCACTCTCGCTTCCACACCTCGAATTCTGTCTCGTAATCCGCGTATTCTCGCTCTTTTGTTATCTTCCTTGAAAGCTCGCGATTTAGATAAAGGTACAAAAAAGAAGGAACGATAGAAAATCAAAATATACAGACGTTATGACATCGACACAGCCAAATCTTTGTTTAAATTATTTCGCTTCATCGTGTTGCTCCTATCGATACGCTGCGACGTTTGTTCGCGTCAGAGCCGGTTTAAGAGGCTGCCGCCGCAATCACCGCTGCCGCGCAACCACCAAAGGAAGCCCTGCCTGGTTTCAATTCTTTAAGAGAGACACGCTGTCTGTAAGGCGATAGGGCTGCGTCTATGCAAAATGTAAATCTAAAAAGAAAGAATATTTTTTAGTCGCGTTTAAAAAAAAAAAAAATGATTCGCGGCCAATTGTCTAGTATGTACAGAGCGGCCCTGAATCGCGTCTCGCAGTGAGATCCGAAGGCGTCTTTAAACCGGCCCCGGTTTTTTTTTCTTCTTTTTTTTTTTTTTTGTCCCGGATATTCCGTCGTGACGTGTTTGTCCGCCCTCGCGCCTCCGCGGCTCCCTTTTTCTTCCCCCTTCGCGTCTCTTTTCTCATTCCCGTCCTCACACAAGTGATTAGGAAGCAATGATCCTCCGAGAGACCCCCTCTCTTTCTCCTCTCACACGCGCTTCTCCCTCGTTTACCAAACTCAGTGAACACTTGGTGGATATTGCGTTTTTTTTGTTTTTTTTTTTTCGGTGCACTGGACGATTCTCCGTGACGATCGCGTACTCGCGACGGAATTCAAATTCCTCGGCTTGCGGCTCTTTCCAACGTTTTCGTTATTCTCGGCTAAAAAAAAAACTGATCTCCCACTCTTTTTCTCTCTCTCTCTCTCTCTCTCTCTCTCTCTCTCTCTCTCTCTGTCTCTTTCGTAAAAGGGTCGGCGATTAACCGGGAGGGTTAATAAATTGAAAGCGAAAGCGAGCTATCCGACGTGTAGATTGTTGTGAACGCGCGTTGTGGAGATATGCATTAGATTCCTGTATATGTGTGTGTGTATGTATGTGTGTGTGTGTGTGTTCCGTAAAACTCGGATTAAAAAATCTGGAGATTCTCACCCGTTATTGCCCGCGTTATTGATCCTGCGTCTCTGGCTTCACTGGAGTCGTCCAGTTCACACTTCATGTTCTTACAATATTTATTACTTGCTGATTGGCTGACACGCGCTTATAATCGCATTAGATTAGATACATCTCCTCCGTGCACATATAACCGCAATAATCTAATCTATATGTATCTTATATAACAAACACTGGCTTTCCGTGACTGTGTAACTCTCGGGAGAGGAAAGGAGTATAACAACACACTACGATATCAGTGTTTTATCAACGAATTATATAATCTTAAATTGCGATTTTTTCTTTTTCTTTTTTTTCTCACCTTCCAGCCCTTTTTTCCACCTTTCTTTCTCACGTGTGCATGTACAAAAAATACAACGCGCCGTCCCGATCTCCAGTCCGTTTACAAATGTACATGCGAGAACAATAATATATATGTATATATATATATATATAT